CCCCCCCAGGGTAACTTGTCTCATTCATGGCAAAGCAGCACTTGGACAGACTGCATCAGAGGAAGGAGTCAGGGCCAAAGAAACACATAAAAACTAACAGTTGTCTAACAGACTCCAGATGTGCTGTGGTGGGTGCCAACCAGTGTGTTCGGATTATAAGCCATGAAGAAGCCCCCACTATGATTGTCAAGCACTCACTCTGGATTTAATGTAAACCCAGATAGGACCCTGGAAAGCATTAATACAATCTGTTTAGCCACAGAGGCTGACAAAATGGCTTTCACTCAGCATTATTTTCTTCTTTTTACCTCAAGAATTTTACAACCTCCATGTTGTATTTGTTGTTAGTGTGAAGTCTGGCTCTGTCCCTGTGTGCACTATACAGCTGTGTCATGGGCAGGTTGGGCTTTTCAAGACAGGCTAGGTGGTTTCTGTTTTTAAAAGTCAAAGATAACATAAATTATAAAGGCTACAGACTTAAACTGTTTGGGTTTGAATCTAGACAATCTCATTTACAACTACAATTTTGTAATCCCCTGCATTAGTATTAAATGCCAGATAATATATTGTTTTATTCCAACATTTCCTAGGCACGAAGAGAATAAAGACACAATATTTTCCTTAAAGAAGCTCTCAGTCTAATGCTTAAAAGACTGGTTGCCCTAAACACGTGGCAAAGCCATCTGTATGGTCTAGTCCCTGGCCTTGCCATCTTTTTTTGCTGACAGCCTCAGCAAATCATCCTGCATTCTGTGATTTATTTGCCCATTCATTTCAGATTCACTGAGCATCTACTGTGTGTCCCATATTGTATTAATGGAAAACAAATGTCTTTCTTCCTAGTAACAGCCTATTAGTTAATCAGACCTAGGTTGTAACTCTAGCTCTCCCTTTACCAGTTAGACAAATTACTTCTGAGATTCATGTTCCTCGTCTTTAGAATTTGGATAACATTACCTACCTCGCAGGGTTGGTGTGAAGTTCAACAAGGCAGCAAAGCTGAAGCACTTAGGTCCCTCCCACTTCTGTTCCCTTTCAAAGACAGCTGTTCCATGGTGAGAACTATGCCGCAGGTGATGCATGTTCATCAAGGGAAGGGGGCATTTCAGCAACTATGGCTCTCGTTCTGTCATTTCCAGTAACTTTAATTTTCAACAGACTATTGTGCTCAAAATCACAGAACCCATGCATCGTGTTCTACTCCTCTGAGGAAGACTATTACCCAGAGTAGAGGCAAACAGGACGGCGCTACTTTTTATCCTTCCTTTCTCTGCCTGTTTTTTTAATACTACAACTATAATACAGGGTTTTTAAATGTCTTTCTTAAACCTTACATTTTGATCATTGAAGAGCATCATTTAAATGCCCACCTGTCCAAAGTTGTCCTCACTAGGAGAAGTGACTGTACTTGGTTGCCTTTCACTCCTGCTGATATCAAGCTAGATCTATTCCTATTTTCCCTTTTTTTCCTCTAGCATTTATTACAAAACGTTGACCTTCTCTTTTCTACAAGCATACATCCTATTTCTCTACTTTCTATTTTTGTGACTTTCCACTTGCATACATGTCCCTTTTTTAGATTCCTGACTGGTATAACTTTTCAGAATTATGGAATAACTTTTACAAAAATGGCTGCCACTTATCAATTGACTACAATTCACAGGGCACAGTTG